TAAAAAAACCAGACCTCACAGTGACAGAATGACAAAGTTGGGGGGGGGGGATGACTACTTGACGTTCTTTTCAGTGTTCCAGTTTCCTTGCAGATGGCCACAATGGCCAGATGAGAATCTGCAGGACACAGGTGCACCCATGCACACGCCCAGCGACTTTTACCCCAACTCGTGGAGTACACATTAGGAACCCCGTGAGTGGTGATGTGTTGTACATCTTTCAATGGGAAGATTGTACGTCAGGATAACTACAGCAGGCAAGAGCGAGGGCGCGAAGACGTGAACAGAGTGTCTTCATCTTCACAAAAAAGCCACAGTGGCAACAGAAAGACGAAAGGACCTGAGAAGGCAGAACAGAGAAATGCTGCAGGGGGAACTCAGATTGAATGTCAGTTTCTCCTCTTGAATATAATACACTGCATTGTTGTTGAAAATTGTTTTTCAGCACACAGTAGGCTAATTTCAAATGAATGATGTTATTTTAGTTTTCTTTGACCTTTCCATGTAACAGTTGGTAATTTTGATTGATCATACTTGCGTCTCCTTTCCGTTTCTGCATAAACTATTCAGTCATTTACGGGGGGTATTTTTAACTCTCGGGTACAGCTCAATGTCTCACCCCTCATTCAATACCTTTGGAAAGTAAACAACGAATACATGACATACAAACCACAGCCATCGACCTTATTTGTAGATGTAATTCTGCTTCAGGCAACAACAGAGAAGAGTGGCAGAAAATAAGAGACTGGGAGTGACATTGTAACATGGATTGTGCAATATATGGCCACTAATATTATTTGTCCGTGTTATATGATACGGCTTTAGTTAACCACGTGCTGGTTAGAGAAGGTCCATAGCCTGACATTCATTGTACCTTTAGTAACTTAGTGGATAATTTCTTAATCTGTCAAATAATCTTTAATAAGAATATGCCGTTATATTTTTGGTTTCTAACCCTAACATAAATAATTATTGATTAAATTAATCTCAAAAGTAATGTCCTTACTCCCTCCTAAGCAAACAAGCTCAAAGTACGTTTTTTTGCGATGCTTTGTAGAGGCGCTTACTGCATTTTGTAATCCAAGTACTTTTACATCATGTGATGTGCAGGCAGGTTTACAATATAAAAGAATCAGTAAACATAATGGATCAAATAAGTGTGAGAATTGCTAAGAAACCAAAAGGAGGGAATTTGCATTAACCAGTGACCCCTTAAGGAATTTTCAGCCACAAAGCAACAGATGAACCAACACTGCTCGCGCCAGTATTAAAATCTAACTTGACAAAATATGCATGTTCCTACTCTTTCATTGTAGCAACCAAAGCTAAAGATTTCATTGCTTCTTGTGTAAGGTGCTAAAGAGAAGACCCAAACCCATTATTTTCACTTTTTAAAAAGGCTCTAATTGGCCAACAGCGTGCCACAGTGCCTTACTTCCACCTCGCGTGAAGAGCCCTATAAAGTCAGTGCATTTAGACTTTAGAAAAGACCAACCTAACACGATAGGCCAGTATTAGTTCACATAATACATAATAACAAGATGACCGATGCTGATGTCCAGATTGTGAGCTGGCATCTACCAGTAACAGATGTCAAAACTACCATGTTACTTCACAGCAGAAGAAAACGGAGTGAAGCAAAACCCAACACGGCTTTGAAGTAGAGCCAGAACTTTGCTGCCACCAGGAGGCCAGGGCGGATCATACTCAATATGTCTTACAAAAACCTGGTTAGACCCCTAATAAGAAAAGGTTCATTAAGAGATGCCATTTTTAGGAACCTGGAAAAAGATACTGGGACAGGATAACTAAACAGAAAATGTGTTTCAATTTATCATTAAGAACATAATGGAGACATGATGTGATATACAGCAGCAAAAAAACTGCTTTGATGTCAGTGCAGTTTTAAAAATAGAACTGGATTTGCTCGAGCCTTCCAACAAACACAGCAAGTCAAAGTTTCTCCTCTTTTTACACTTGCTAAAATCATGTGTCCTGGATGATCAGGAACTCATATAGAGGAGTGATGTTGATGTTAGAGATGGGCTACCATAGAAGAAGGAGATGCCAATGCACATGAAGAGGGTTTGATGATGATGAAGGCCAAACTAGTGCTGAAGGAGCTCAATGAGAGTTGAACCAGTTAACATCCCTCCCTATGAAAGAATTAGACAAGCATGAATACTGTGCAGTCCTCATCACCAGACGGAAGATGGCATTTGTACACTTTTTCACTTTACTACAGTCATCAAAAACACACTCACATCAGTCCACTAACAAGAGACCCAAAAGGTAGAAGGCAAAGGACAACAGCGTGCCCAGGAACAAGGAACTTGGTGCAGCTTGTTTGTCTGAGCTGTTGGGGAAACTCGTCCAGCACAGCAGTGGTGATGCCCATCCATGTTGCCCAAACTGTGAGGCAGCAGAGCAGAGATAAACTGTACAATGCTGAGGGTGGATTGTATTTTTGCCAGTTATCAAACATACAGTTGATAAAGTCTGGCAGGCCTTACCAGTGTATCAAATCCCAGCACTAAAGAAGCCGATGAGGCAAGAACAGGATTGACCAGAACACTAGTCCTCGGCAGTAGAGCAAGGGCTTCTGGGTAAGCACACAAAGGCCAAACCAGGACCTGAAGCAAAAAAAAAAAAAAGAAATACATGTAGTCATTTAAGTATACATGCAAGTTTAAAGTTTCGGTAGTAGTAGTAAGTCAGTAAGAAAGACTAGAATAAATTCAGGTGAATATTTTATTAAAGGAAGTACCAACAAAAATACACTACATTAGCCATAATACACAGATGGAAATTTGAAATGACAAACTACACACAAGTTGAGACTTTATTGTATTTTAATCGGTCAAGAGTAACTTACCTGTATCGCCACCTCTCCAACAGCACTCCCTTCTCCATGCCATGTGACCCAGATTTGAGAAGATAGCAAATCCTTGAAAAGAAGCTGGTGCCTGCAGTTTCCTGTTGCTGATAATCGAGAGTGCCCTGAAATCCAAAAGAGCCGATTGATTTAAGAGACTGAAGCTTCATGACTGCAGCAAGTGAGAGCAAATGTTCGGGAGCACAGTTCCCAAACTCACCTGATCACGTTGTTGTCAAACTTATTGTAAGAGGCCATAGAAAGCAACCTCCAACTCCCAATGCCTTAAGGAGTAGAAAATCTGTGAGGCTGCGTCATTCCACAAACTGCAATTGTTCAGGACAGAAATATACTTTAAACAATGACAATATCTGCCTCGTTATTTATAATATATTTATATAGCCAGCCAACAAAGCATTGAGTTCCACACACTCCTCAACCTCATATGTGCTACTCTACCACAAGAATAACCTGTGCATTAGCTAATCGGGTTCCAGTCTGGTGTGAGGTAGAAAGCAAACACCTGAAGAAGCCCTCCAGTGTAAGCACCTCTGATGATCAGGAACGATGAGCACAAAATATGGGATGGGGCTGTAGACATAAACCACACTGAAAGACCCAGGACAACATAGACAAGTTTTAGGCCGGCAAGTTATGGCAGCAAAGGCAGGATGTATGTGGTGCTGTTGTGAGTTGACAATAACAACATTGTGTTGATTTCACCTTGCCAGAGCTGCGGATTGCCCTTGAGCATACATAGGATATTGATGATTCAGCGGAGGCCAGGAGGCACAGGGCCAGGGGCCACCGGACACGCCCTGGGTCATGGAAGGCCTCACTGTTTACTTACCCCCAGCACTCGCTCACTGCAGAAAACACAAGTCAAATAACAAAACATATATTTACAGCCACACCTATTACCAACACCTATTGCCATACTTAACAACATTTCACTGAACACAAAATAAACAAGTGCAGTTGTTAGCTGGGATTAATAAGTGACTATGAAGACATTTGTCTGAGGAGGAGGCCATAATTCATACTGCTTGAGTTTTCAAATAAGTTTCTTCAATGTTTACCAGCACTAAAATCATGGGCAATAATTGTAGTCCAGTGCTATAAGTGCTCTGAGAGGAAATAGCACTAAAGAAGAAGGAGGATAATTAAGTAATATTTTCTTATTTATTCCTTATTCTATAAATATTCACACATCATGTGCTGTGACACAAGGATATCGAAAGCTGCTAAAAGCCTTCATAATGTTAATTATAAACAAGGTATAATGTCATATACAATCTATACCAATCATAGGGCATTACAACATATGATTATAAATTACT